ATAAAGTTAAATTTAGTTTTTTGTCTTTTTCGTACTTACATTCACCTCATAGTTTATTAAAATAAGCACATATTCTACCAGCAGCTTTGAGTAAAAGATGCTTTAGAGCAGTGATGGTGAACCTTTATAGCTTTCAGTGATGCAAAGGGCCCACTGTGGCACACACGTCATAGGTTCACCACCACTGTTTCATAGTTTTAAGGGAGATAGCTCAGTAGAATAAGCGCCCTCCTGGCAGGTGTAGGGTCTTGTATTCAATCCTCGGTACTGCCAAAAAAAAAAAAAAGAATACAGCAATCAGATACAGGTTGAGGGTTAGGGGATTGCAACTGGGGTAAAGCAGTATCTGACAGTTCGGGGTGTTTGAACATGGGTTAGATAGTAAAGGATTATATAGCCTTACGGAGTTACTGAATTCTTTGCATTATGATAGAGGTCATATGGTTACCTAGAAAACTATTCTTAGAGATGAATGTGTGAAAATAGGTATGCTGTTTTCTGATGTAACACTTCTTTGAAAACTTTAGGGAAGCTGGAACGCAGAACAGTGTTATTTACGTAGTCATTTTAAATGGGAGATTCTTTTAATGAGGATAAAAGCACTTTTGATTTTAGTTTTTTGAGCCAGGGGCTCGCTATGTAGTCCAGGCTAGCTAGCCTCCAACTCAAAATCCTGCTCTAACCACTCTTGAGTACTGAGTTTACAGTCATGTGCCACCAAGTCTGGCTAAAAGTAAAGTTTTAATAGATACAATGTGTTACTAAACAAACTCTTGGTAAATTTTAAGACAGCGAATTTTAAGATGCATCTACAAAGGACCAAGTATGGTGGCATGTGTCTATAAAACTTGTACTCAGGAGGCTGAGCCAGCAGAATTGCCACACGTTTTAGTCCATCCTGGGCTACATAGTAAGTTCAAGGCCAGCCTGAACTACAGAGTAAGACCCTGTCTCAAAAAGAAACAAAAAAACTTCATAGAGTAAGGTAACTGAGAACATGTCAGTATTTGTGGCATTTAATTTGGATTGAATGGCATATGAAAGGGATGGCTTCTCATTCTTGGCTTTGTCATTGCAATAGGTTCGTATTCAGGAGACTCAAGCTGAGCTTCCCCGAGGAAGCATTCCCCGCAGTTTAGAAGTAATCTTGAGGGCTGAAGCTGTGGAGTCAGCTCAAGCTGGTGACAAGTGTGACTTTACAGGGACGCTGATTGTTGTACC